AGTGTATCTTTATGATAGTTGAGATGTTTTTTAGTTTGGAGGCGAATGTGTGCTTATGATAGTTGATAAATCTTTAGTGTATAGGCCAGTGTATCTTTATGATAGTTGATAAATCTTTAGTGTATAGGCCAGTGTATTTTTTATGATAGTTTTGAGAACTACGGTGTAGAGGCTAATGTATTCTTATGATAGTTGATAGATTCTTGAGTGTGGAGGCCAATATATATGTATCCTTATGATAGTTGACAGATCCATTGGAGTAGGGCTTGGCAAGTACCAGAGCTGGGTGAAGAATCAATTCCCGAACGGATTCCCACGATTAATGCCGCGGAAGAAAAGTCCCGACTCTTTGTTACGTAAACCACGTGGTTACCAGTTACTGTAATCATTAAAATATTCACTTTTTTAAAAAGAATAAAAAAAAAAAAAAAGAAGTTGATGCTTCGCAGTGTTTCGAAATCAAGGTCATCCTAAATCCTGGAGCTGTTTGGAACCAACCAGGTAACCACCAGAAGAAATCACATCCTTAGAAAGTAAGTCATTGGGTTCGGAGTCGATTCCTACGATTCCTAGCTGTCAATAAACGGGAACCTGGCCGCCCAGCACTAGCAGGTACCAGTACCCAGTGCCAGGACTTCTGGTACTGCCATAGGCGGTGTGAGTACTGGCTCCAGGCCTCCAGTACCGGTACTGGGAAGGTGTTGACTCAAATTGTTTAACCCTATCGGTACACCCTGGGGTCATTTTGTACCCCCGGGGTTGTATTCTTCACATTTTAGAATACTAGTACGAAGTTCGCTTTGAAACTTTCAGTATTTCTTGAAAAATCGTTTTGACAGACTGTTATGCAAAGCGTACGGATCGGATTAATGAGTAAATTTCCTCTTTGGAAAGTGGTGGCACAGAGTTCCCCATGTCGTATGGATACGATAGTACAACACGACATATGGATAGGGTTAAGTGGTGGCACAGAGTTCCCCACGTCGTATGGATACGATAGTAAAACACGACATATGGATAGGGTTAACACAGGGGATGATTCGCCCTTGGAACTAAAGCCCCAGTCACTGTGCAGCATGTAAAAGCTGTGATGTGAGACGCACAGTACAAAGCAGAAGATGGACTTGATACATGCCATCGAGTTAAAATTTAACAACCAATTAAAGATTAGATTATGTTTGTTTAAGTTTACATATTGCATCAAATCAGGATCATCGTGAAAAACTTTGCTTATTTTGATAAGATGATTCTGAAAATGAAATCAGTTTTAGCTCCAATTCTTATTTTCAAAAATTTGCTCGCAAAGTTTAATCCTGGGTGGCAGGAAATGTCAAAGGGATTCTGTGGCCCGGCTCATCTCTCACAAGTCTGACATAGTCGCATTTGACGACTTTGGAAGCCCTTGTCTCCACGCCGCTGATATGGAGGTCAAAATATCGCGACCCCAGTGCTTTCTTGTCGTATCTCCATTTTTAATAACAGTGAAAACGGTTCATAACACAGAGTGAGCATAAGAATATGTCACATTTTCACGGTTGAAAAATGGAGATAGGACAAGAAAGCACTGAGGTTGCGATGTACTAATGAAAGTTGATAGGTCTGTAGTTGTAGATGTCGATACATTTTTCTGTTATGAAAGTTGATAAATCTGAGGTGTGCAGGCCAATAATTCTTATGATAGTAGATAGATCATATTATATTATATCAAGAATAGCCCAGTGAAGTTTAATTTCCATCAGTTTTTCCAAATCTGATCTCTCTGATAAAGTTTTGCATGGCTTTTGTTACAAAGTTGACTCCTGGTATTCTGTTATAAAGTTGCCTGGTTTTCAGTAATATAGTTGACTCCTGGTTTTTTGTTATAAAGTTGACTCCTGGTTTTTTGTTACTTAGTTGACTCCTGGTTTTTGGTTCTTTCGCAGGAAGCGGAGGGCAAGTTTACTTTGGCGATCCAGTATAACCCGCAGGTCGGTCAGTACTACATATCTAGGTCAAGGGCACGGTACATGAACGAGGTGAGCAAGTTGTAGTAAAGTATCACATTTACACTATATCTTTGTCACTATTAAATACACAGAGAAAGAGAGAGAGAGGGAGAGGGAGAGGGAGAGGGAGAGAGACCTATATTTGTTATATATCTAATATATATGTCCGTCATTCAAAATAACAAAGCATTGTGTTGATTTGTGGGATGATTCTATTCGGCCTTTATCCTGCCTTAGTTGTGAGTCCTATCACACACACAAAGACACACACACAAATACACACACTCACACAGACACACACTCACACAGACACACATACGCACTTATGCCCACACATACATCATTGTCACTGTCAAACACACACACACACACACACACACACACACACACACACACACATACACACACACACACACTCACACAGATACACGCACATTTTAACTCGCATATATACACACACACATAATATGATAATCACATAATATTATAATATTAAATATATAATATATTAATTTTTGTTTAACTTTCTCTACAGTTGCTCAGATATTGTTGGAGTATATACCACTTTAATGTCAACTGATTATTTTGCAAACCGCAGTTTTTAACACTCTATGTACCATCTAGAACGCTCAGATCATCAAGTGACAAAACAACCCTTGTTAAGCCTAAAATAAATTATAAATCATATGGCCAACGCTCTTTTTCATATTTTGCCCCACTTGTTTGGAATAAGCTTCCAAAAACTATCAGAGAAGCAGAAAATCTAGAAATGTTTCAGAAGAAACTAAAGGCATTTCTATTTTCATCATATTTCGATTAGACAGAATCCATCCAGGCTGTAGATCGTTGTGAGTTTGTATGTGCGTATGTACCTATGTGTGTATGTGTATATGTGTGTGTGTGGTGCCTGCGTGCGTGAATATGTAGGTGCACGCGTATGTAATACTATGTGCCTTTAAAATTGATTTGTAAATCCATAATATGTATCATGTTAAGCGCATAGAGCATTGCATAAGTGGATATGCACTATATAAATGCAATCCATTATTATTATTATTATTATTATTATTATTATTATTATTATTATTATTATTATTATTATTATTATTATGATGATTATTTATGGTGTCCTCTAAAATGTTTGTCACTGGTGTTGTTGGTACTTTTACAGAAGGAATAAGTTTACTTTCAAGTGGGATGTGTCAGTGCTAATTGATCGTTACTGTCACGCAATAATTGATCGTTACTGTCACACAATAATTGATCGTTACTGTCACACAATAATTGATCGTTACTGTCACGCAAGACATGGTGGGAGATGAAGAAAGATTATCGTTATCATTGTCATTGTCATTATCATTGCCATTATCATTGTCATTGTCATTGTCATTATCATTGTCATTATCATTGCCATTATCATTGTCATTATCATTGCCATTATCATTATCATTGCCATTATCATTTTCATTATCATTTTCATTGTCATTGTCGTTGTCGTTGTCATTGTATGGAGTATGGAGGCCAGTGTATCTTTATGATAGTTGAGATGTTTTTTAGTTTGGAGGCGAATGTGTGCTTATGATAGTTGATAAATCTTTAGTGTATAGGCCAGTGTATCTTTATGATAGTTGACAGAGCTACGGTGTAGAGGCCAGTGTATCTTTATGATAGTTGACAGAGCTACGGTGTAGAGGCTAATTATGTGTTCTTATGAGAGTTGATAGAGTTACGGTGTAGAGGCTAATTATGTGTTCTTATGAGAGTTGACAGAGCTACGGTGTAGAGGCTAATTATGTGTTCTTATGAGAGTTGACAGAGCTACGGTGTAGAGGCTAATTATGTGTTCTTATGAGAGTTGACAGAGCTACGGTGTAGAGGCTAATTATGTGTTCTTATGAGAGTTGACAGAGCTACGGTGTAGAGGCTAATTATGTGTTCTTATGAGAGTTGACAGAGCTACGGTGTAGAGGCTAATTATGTGTTCTTATGAGAGTTGACAGAGCTACGGTGTAGAGGCTAATTATGTGTTCTTATGAGAGTTGACAGAGCTACGGTGTAGAGGCTAATTATGTGTTCTTATGAGAGTTGACAGAGCTACGGTGTAGAGGCTAATTATGTGTTCTTATGAGAGTTGACAGATTCTTGAGAGTGGAGGCCATGTATATGTCTCCCTTTGCATCCTCTCTCTCTTAGTCTGTCTGTCTGTCTGTCTGTCTGTCTGTCTGTCTGCCTTTCTCTCTCTCTCTCTCTCTCTTAGTCTCTTAGTCTCTCTGTCTGTCTGTCTGTCTGCCTTTCTCTCTCTCTCTCTCTCTCTCTTTCACTCCCAGTCTCTTTGTCTCTGTTTCTGTCTCTGTCTCTCTCTCTCTCTCACCCCCAGTCTCTTTGTCTCTGTGTCTCTCTCTCTGTGTCTCTGTCTCTGTCTCTGTCTCTCTCTCTCACTCCCAGTCTCTTTGTCTCACTCTCTCTCTCACTCTCTCTCTCTCATTCTCTCTCTCTCTCTCTCTCACCCTCTCTCTCTCTCTCTCTCTCTCTCTCTCTCTCTCTCTCTCTCTCTCACTCCCAGTCTTCCTGTTCTGTTTCCCACAGGACATGGTGGGAGCCCGCGAGGACCTGCTGGTGGGCCTGCTGTTGGCGCCGACCAATGAGGACGTCATGTCTATCCTGTCGCGTCTGTTCCCTGGCAAGTCTGTGGCAGACGTCATCAGCAGTCCGGCAGCGCACGCCGCTCGCGTGCAGCTCAACAACCTGGTGGCCACCAACTCTCCAGTCAGACTCAACCCCATCGGTCCCAGCAGGTAGGCTACCTCTTTTTCCTGCTCAATGTTGGTTTTTTTTTTGGGGGGGGGGGTTGGTAAGTGTTTTACGGCGCTCGCAACTGCATAAGGTCAAATGAGCGCGCGGGACACATTAAACATTTTCAGTTGGTAGGAAATTTTGAATTTTGCGCGGGTGGTGGCCGAAGCTTACTCTTATCGATTCATATGGCCTTATGCAGTTGCGAGCGCCGTAAAACCTCTACTAGAAAAAAAAATGTCATGTGCATATCCTCATCCATTGTGCTATGATACTGATAGTAGTGATAGTGTGAATATCTGCTTGTTTCGGTGGCCTAGTGGTTAGGCTCTCGGACTCGCAACCGTAAGGATGTGGGTTCGAATCCTGTCAGGGGCCCGACGTTGTGTCCTTGGGAAAGGCACTTTGCACAAATTTTCCTCACTTCACCCAGGTGGAAATGGGTACCCGGCTATAGACAGTGAAAGATCTTGTCAGTTTGATAGTGTTTGAGCGCATGAAATCCGCAGCTTGCACTGTATGCTTCCGCGGAAGCCGAGAATGTTTCTGAGTGTTCTCAGAGGGTCTGCTGGGGTAATAATAGTTGTAAAGCGCATAGAGCATGCTCTTGAGCGTGGATATGCGCTATATAAATGCAATTATTATTATTAATATTATTATTGTGTGTTATCGGTAATCTTAACAGAGCATGTTTTATGTATGTTCATTCACTTGGGTTTTGGGTTGAGATGAAGGCCCCCCACAGGGGCGGTGCCACTGACTGAAGTGTCTTTAGGCCATTCCCAAAGGGGGGACATTTCTTGTTCAAGCACAGTAGAATTGTAAATGGGCTGATTCATGTCACGCTCAAAACTGTGCCTGATCTACAACAGGGAACTGCTGCTTTTTCTTTCCTAATCTTTACTATTGTCATTTTCCTCTACTTCTTTTGTACACACTCTTGTGACCTGCTATTTCCGGGATGCCTTGATAGTCGAAGCAGACTTTGTGCTGTTGAGGCTAGAGAGGTGAGCAGAGTAAGCCCGATTCCCTGTAAAGACTTCTCTGTTGACATCCACCCCTTGGCACTTATATGACCCTATGCAGTTGCAAGCGCCGTAAAATCTTACAAAAACATATAAGAGCGTATGTTTTGTGTGTGTTCATTCACTTGGGTTGAGCTGAAGGTATTATAGAGGGCCTGCTGAGCCTGGAGCTGTATGGCACGGGAGGGGGAGCGGAAGAGAAAATTATCTTCTTCATTTTTATTACTATTACATAGATCTATGTTTTTGTCATGCATTCTGCTTCTTCTTCTTCTTCTCCTCCTTCTCCTCCTCCTTCTCCTTCTCCTTCTTCTTCTTCTTCCTCTTCTTCTTCTTCCTCGTTCTCGATGACAGCAGCTAGACAGTCAGTCCGATGTCGCGCACAAACTGTGCAGTCCGCTTCAAATTTGAGAGACTGCCATAGAGCTTTCTCTTAAGGGGAGTCACATTTTTTGTCATGCATGTAAATAAATATATTAAGTTAGGATTACCTAGCAATTTTTTTAAAAAAGTGTAAAGAATTCTCTTTCAAAATATGTGGACTTCCCCTTGATCTCTTACCCTGTGGATTCCAATCCAACTATTTCTTTGTTATGCAGCAGCCTGGCGTTGTAAAGGATTTATACACTCTGACAAAGCTTTACTTTTTTTTAACATTTGGTCCCTTTTCCATGGGTGGTTTACGAGTACGCTGGTGGAGCTTGCTCCTCCTTTCCTCTCAAACATCTATCGTCGTTGCTATCTCTTCTTTCTTTTCATTGCATGTTGCTCTCTAGTAACACCTCTAATCTTCGGCACTTTTATTATAATATGGTCGCTTTTAAGGACAAGCGGGCTACCCCAGATTTCGGCGATTTCCAGAAATCTTGACCGACATCAAAAGTGGGCATTGCCCTACCTATAGGAGAAGGTTGGTTTCATTGGTGTGTATATTTGTTTGGTTATAGAGAAAACTCCCCTTGTCTTTTAAAGAAACTGAACAAGGGGCAAAAACTTTACCTTCGATTTTCTCAAAACAGCATTTTTCGGGATAGCCCCCTTGTGCTTAAAAGCGACCAATGACCTAACTGTGTTGCAAGTGCCGTGAAACTTTTACTACAACTAAACTAAACCATTCTCTTTTCCCACTTGCAACTCCTCAGTACTCTGGACACGGAGTATTACAGTGAGGCCGCGGCGGGGAACCTGGAAGAGGCGGGGGTGGGGGCGTCGGTGGGGGCGGGGGTGGGGGCGTCGGTCGGCTGGGAGCAGGCGGCCTCCACATCCAGCTTTGCCATGTGTATGGGAGAACAAGAGTTCTATGCTGAGCAGGTGAAGGAGAAGAGAAAGGTGAGTGTGTGTGTGTGTGTGTGTGTGTGTGTGTGTGTGTGTGTGTGTGTGTGAGAGAGAGAGAGAGAGAGAGAGAGAGAGAGAGAGAGAGAGAAAGGGAGAGAGAGAGAGAGAGAGAGAGAGAGAGAGAGAGAGAGAGAGAGAGAGAGAGAGAGAGAGAGAGAGAGAGAGAGATATTCATAAATATGTTGTAATATTTTCGAGGATTTTATAAAAGAGACCCAATTTCTAACTGTTCCTCCGTTTATCTCCCAGGTTGAACTCCAAGTGAAGGATGCACTCCTCAACAGAAAAACTCTTCGTTACAACGGGGCTCGCATCCAGCCCTTGCCTCCGCCAACATCCAAGCCTCGCTATGGAACTTACCGAGGTCAGCGACAAATTCTGACCACGATGGGAGAGAAGAAGAAAAACAAAAGCAGCACAAACTGGAAAACTTTTAGTCTGGGACTGGGCGGTCTACAGAATGTGTAAATGTGAAGCCTGCTGACAAAATGAGTTACTTCTTGAATTCAAGCCTTTATATGGAAATATATACGTCACATGTATAGGTGAAGTTGTTACAATTTATAAGTATGAAATAATAAAAGGCATGTTATAGTTAAAGAATATGACATCAATAGAGAAATTCTACAAATTTGACCCTATTGTCGATTTTTGGCCAATATCTCCATTTGTGGATTGTGAGACGTACCTCATTTGTCAGCACGCCTCTCATATAGTATTATTAGTTCTAATAGAATGTAATAGAGCCCCCTTACACACAGACCGTGGGTTTAAATCTGAAAACAGTGGTAAACCGAAAAAAAAAAAAATCAGCGATGAGTTATTCTTCTATTTCAGCAGCCCTCAAAACTGAAAACTCAGCTAAACTGAAGAACAACAGGTTTCAGTTACAGCGGACTCCCTTGTAGTAGGATTTCTTCCAAGACAAGCTGTGTCATAAAAACCCAAAGCTTGCGTCAGAGATGGTCGCTATAAGCCTGTATTCCAGTTACATTCAGGAGAAAGGTTATAGTTTGTGACATATACACCTTCAACTGATTGGATTGTTTTCATTTTTGTGCAAAATTCATATATCTGAGAAATATTTTTGTGGAGTTTTGCACAGTAAGTTAGGGCTTGTGGAGTTTTGCACAGTAAGTTAGGGCTTGTGGAGTTTTGCACAGTAAGTTACGGCTTGTGGAATTTTGCACAGTAAGTTAGGGCTTGTGGAGTTTTGCACAGTAAGTTAGGGCTTGTTGAAATTTCCCTCTGAAGAAACATTTGTGACGTCACATAGTGGAATCAGGGTCTGGTCAATTTTTGGACATGTGGCGTCGGTGGCCTAGTGGTTAGGCTCTCGGACTCGCAACTGTAAGGTCGTGGGTTCGAATCCCGTCAGGGGCCCGACGTTGTGTCCTTGGGAAAGGCACTTTACACGTATTTTCCTCACTTCACCCAAGTGGGAATGGGTACCCGGCTATAGACAGCGAAAGATCTTGTCAGTTTCTTAGTGTTTGAGCGCTTAATCAGCTGCTTGCATTGTATGCTTCCCAGGAAGCTGAGAATGTTTTGGAGTGTTCTATGGTCTGCTGGGGTAATAATATAGTGTAAAGCGCATTGAGCCTGCTGTTGAGCGGGGACATGCGCTATACAAATGCTATTTGTTATTATTATTATTAGAGTTATTGGTATCATCTTACAGCTTCTTCACCTGTCTTTATAAGAATGAAAAAAATATCCATTTATCTTGAATGCAAGTCGAGAAACTTATGAATGAAGGAGCTGGGGGTCATCTGTTTTCAGAGGTAAAATTAGTGAGAAAATGGCCACCGAAGATTAGTCATTTCCTTAGCTTAAGAGTCTGTGGTAACTGAAAATTTACATTTTTTGTGCCTTTAATCAACGTTTTTCAGTAAAATCTACACAGAAATGTGTTCTTTATTGGGCGTGAAAGGTCTTCAGTCAAAAAACAAAAAATTGATAAAAATTCACAGACCTGCAGAAAAATGCCAGTTTCTTCACTTTGATTATTTTGACGAGAGCCTGATTCCACCACGCGGCCTCACATTTTATGGGAGTAGGCCTGCCTACCTACAGTCTAACACACACTTAGTGAAGCTGGCAGCATGTGCATATCTTTTCCATATGTACCAATGTCTCTGTGGATGACATTCGTGTTTTAAATTTCTACAAAGGTACATAAATTACAGAATTCGAGATCTGAAAATCTGTTTGCTAAGTGTGCATGTTTTTCTGTGTGTGTGCTTGACCGTCAGTGAAGGCAGTCCCCCTGACCTTTGAGTGAAACCACTAAGACTAAGACTTTTTCATTAAAATTAAGTTTTGAAAGCTTTAGAGAACGTCGTTGTGTTGATTACACTCTGCTCTGTGAAATGCTGGAGTCGTGTGTTTTTGATTTGTGGGACATATCATCATCATCCATCACCCAGTGCCAGATCTGCGACAGACATCAGCGATCATGGTTCTCCATTCATTCCTTTGCTCGGATGCTCTTTAAAAAAGCTACGTTACCCTGATCTTTCCCTGTTGCCCATTTGTTTAGGTTCCCTAAGTAGGTTGCTCTGGGCCTACCCCTGCCTCGTTTGCCTTCAATTTTGCCAGTGAGAGCTAGATGTTCAAGACCTTTATGTCTATTCAAGTGTCCCGAAAACATTGAGCGTCCCTCGTAGGCTTCATCAAGCACCACCTCATTTGATTTCTTTTCCTTTCGCAATACTCCCAGCAGTCTCCTACAAAACCACATTTCTGTTGCTTCTATTTTGTTTTCACATATGTAGACAGATAATGTAATCGAGATGTGGAGACTTTTGAAGTTCAAGAAGTGTTACATGAGAGAGGAACATGAGCCAGGGGAGGGAATCATGATGATTGTGTTCTATTTCTGATGGCTACAGAGCTAAGAGGTCTAACAAGATCAAAGGGGTTCTGTATTTCAGTGAAGTCAGTTCTGTGAACTGTGAAGAAATGAAAGATGAATGTGATGCCCTTCTGAGAGTGAACTAACCATGAGGACAACTAAGAAAAAGGGAAAAAATGCCTTGCAAATTTCATCCCGTCTGCTGAGTTTTTGTGATGATTTCATTACTCTTGGTTTGTTTAGTTCTTCTCACATCCTGTGAGTCGTGAGCTTCTTTGGTACAGAGTACATCCTGTGAGTTGTGAGCTTCTTTGGTACAGAGTACATCCTGTGAGTTGTGAGCTTCTTTGGTACAGAGTACATCCTGTGAGTTGTGAGCTTCTTTGGTACAGAGTACATCCTGTGAGTTGTGAGCTTCTTTGGAGCAGAGTACATCCTGTGAGTTGTGAGCTTCTTTGGTACAGAGTACATCCTGTGAGTCGTGAGCTTCCTTGGTACAGAGTACATCCTGTGAGTTGTGAGCTTCTTTGGTACAGAGTACGTCTCCAGGGGCTAAGTAAGTAGTGAGCTCAGACTCAAGTAATGTCAAGCAAGTGTCGGTGACACGGGGGTCAGATGGGGGGTCACCGGGATGTGTCCTTGAGCAAGACACGACAACCCTAGCTCTAAATACAGGGTGCTGCACAGTGGCGACCGACAGTGGCATTGTTGTAAACTGTTCTGTATTTGTGTAAAATTGTGTATTTCTGCGTGTATTTGTGTTATTTATGTATGTATGTAGTTATGTTATGTATGTATGTATGTATGTAGTTATGTTATGTATGTATGTATGTAGTTATGTTATGTTATGTATGTATGTATGTAGTTATGTTATGTATGTATGTATGTATGTATGTGTGTGTGTGTGTGTGTGTGTGTGTGTGTGTGTGTGTGTGTGTACGTACGTACGTACATACGTATGTATGTATGTATGTACGTACGTACGTACATATGTATGTATGTATGTATGTACTTATGTATGTTTGCCATTGTAAACCAGAGTACCCCTCAGGGAAAAATAAAAGTGTAATTTATTATGATCTTTTTGACAGTTTTTCATTTTTAGTTGAATCAGCTAAACTTTTTTTTTCTTTGGTCATCTATTATTTTATTTTTGAGTCTTGCTTTTCCTTCCTCCCAGGACTATCCAACCGAAAAAATTTTGTGTCATAAACTTCTGAGGCTATGATCATAATTGGTCGCTTTTAAGGACAAGTGGGCTAACCCAGTTTTTGTGGGTTTCCAGAAATCTTGACTTACACCAAAAGTGGGCATTGCCCTACCTATAGGAGAAGTTTGGTTTCATTGGTGTGTACATTTGTTTAGTTACCGATATAGAGAAAACTCTCCTTGTCTTTTAAAGAAACTGAACAAGGGTCCAAAAACTTTAACTTCGATTTTCTCAAAACAGCATTTTTCGGGACAGCCCCCTTGTGCTTAACCCTATCCGTATGTCGTGTTTTACTATCGTATCCATATGACGAGGGGAACTTTATGCCACCACTTTCCAAAGAGGAAATTTAATTGTTAATCCTATCCTTAGGGCTATGCTTTGCATGGCAGTCTGTCAAAATGATTTTTTTTAGAAATACTGAAAGTTTCAAAGAGATCTTCATACTAGAAGTATTCTATAATGTGAAGAATACAACCTCGGGGTACAAAATGACCCCAGGGCATACAGATAGGGTTAAAAGCAACCAATTCTAGTTGTATTCCCACTGTATTACAGCACGCATTTTGTGTGTGCTGCTGTTTTCTTGGGGGGTTTTTCAACTTGCAGTGTTTTGATTTGTTGGACCATGTCGTAAATATTTTTGTGATTTTCTTTTTCTGTTATTGATTATGCTAGTGGCAAGAGTGCATTTTAAAGTGTGCGTTCATAGCTTTGGTTCTTTCAAATCTGAGGTCGTTGTCCTGTAAAATTTAATAATGTATAAAGGAATAAATGTATTTATATATATGCAAACACTTACACTGTGTGTGTATAAATATAATGTGTGTGTGTGTGTGTGTGTGTATGACTATAGTGTGTGTGTGTGTGAGTGTGTGTGTGTGGGTGAGTGTGTGAGTGTGTGAGTGTGTGTGTGTGTGTGTGTATGAC